GCCAAAACCAAAGTCACAAAAGGATGCAGCTCACAAGTCTTGCGTATGTTCACTGCACCCCCGTGCACGGATGCACCAGAGCTGAACGACTTTGCATTTTCATCCCTAGGAGAGGGACTCGCTGGAAGCCTGTGTGCCAGCGCAAGCACATCTTCCTTAGTAGGCACCCCTTTGGCCAGGATGGCGGCAGCAAAGGCATCAGGTGATCCGGCCGTCGGATCGGCATGTTTCAACATCAATGAATCTCTCAATCGCTCGAACTCAATTAAAAACTCGCTGTTGGGGCATGGACAAGCACTGTGCTGGGCATGCGAAAAATTAGAATCCCGAACAAAGCTCGCACTCGAAGATGTACTCACAGACTCAGTCGAAGCTCGCCCACGTTTGTGAGGGGCTTCTGGTGCTNNTGCCTCTGAGGCAGCTGGCAACGCCTGGGAGGCGAATTCTGTGCCCGCTTGCCGGGCCTGAGAGGCACGACAAGGATCATCGGCACCGCGCTTGCACGCCGTGCGTAGTCACGACTGCTTCGTAGCTTTAGCCCGCTCTGGGCAGTCAGCTGCTGCGTGGCTCTTCCCACACTTGGGCCATGCACAAATGTGCAACCCCTTGCTGCACCTGCCCCTGGCCACGACCTCCTGGCAAGTCTTCAAATTGAAGCCATAGCAGATTGGCTCACCGGCATTCGTATGCGATCGACAGCCCTCGAGGCCAGCAGGAAGCCTTGAAGAGGCTCTGGTCTTTCCTTTGCCTTTGCCTTTACCCTTCCGCGAGGGCACCCAATTATCCGAAGGGACGCCCGGAGGCGTGTACGGACCTGGCCTGGTATCCTTGCTTTGCGAAGCATTCCCAGCAGGCCTGGGCATCGGCTGCAAGATGTGCAGTACTTCAGGGGCCATCCATGTGCCCTCGAACACATCGTCCAATGGGCGGCCACTCGGAGTGGCCTGAACACCGGATCGAGTCTTCTCAGCTAAGAGCTGAAAGAGCTTTCTGTCCGCAAGCTGGAGTTGGCCGAAACTAGTCTGAACATGCGTCTGTGGAACCTGGTCGAGGCGGGCACACAGCAAACGATCAACCCACTTTGCATGAAGATTGAAGTCGAGCAAATTCCCCATCTCTAGGGCTATGCCCCTTCGCGTAAGGGCAAACTGCAACAGCAACTCTGTCGTTGTTTCTGCCTT